TCTGTGTCAGGGTTTTGTAGTGGTGTGTTGTTTTTGTTTTTTTTTTTTTTTCCCCCCCCCAGGATATTAATCTAATTGCTTAAAAACATCTCCTTCAGCTAAATTAGGGACTCTGTCCTTCCTTTTGGAGTTGCTACTGCACTTTATCTCACAATGTGGATGTTGGATGCCTTCCAACATTGGATTGTAGCTCTTCCAATCCAGTGAGGGTGGAGTAATAAAGAAAGGGCTTGTCAAGATGCATTTGTTAACAAAATAAACCAGATACTCATTTTTCTAATATGCTTTAATAGATTTCTGACACTCCAGTCACACAGCTGAAGAAATCTGGTCCCTCCTTCCATGACAGTCATTTTCATAAGTAACTTTTCCCTGTTGTCCTCTGATGGAAGGGACTTTCTTGTTCTTTTGCCTAATGGCATCCCAAAGTTTGTCAGGGCAATAGTTAGTGTCCTTACCCATAGCAGATCCAATTCTTCAGTGTAAGTCAGACCTAATATATGGGCTTTTCATCAGAGCTGTTCTTTGAGCCCTTCTCTGTGTGTTCCCTGTGTGGGTTTATTATGAAACTGGGATTAATCTATGGGAACTGTGGAGATATGGGCTGTCATGACCAGCGGGAGTATGTTTGTCAGGGGACTATGTTTTTATGGATCCTGCCTAAGATCCTTCATCAGGTGATGAGAGCTGTTCTTTAGCCAGGTGATTAAGTTCTGACACATCTGTCTCAGGCTGAGGATAATTTTTGTACTTTGGTGGCTCTTTCATTATACTTGAAGCAATTCTCAAAGCTGTTCACGCGGTACCTGATCGACTCAAAGGAAATGTTGTTTCCCAGTCAAAACTGCCAAAGTGAGTAGTGAGATGCACTGAAAAAAATCTATCAGGAGACTTCTGAATTGGATCCTACATGCTGACCCCACTCCTGCACCAGTGCTCCAAAGGACTCAAGCTCCTTTACTGTTACACTGGTCTTCTCTACCTGTTCCTTGTAGGTGAGGGTGTCGTGAATATACATGTGAGAAGTTTCTTGCAGCTGTAGTTACCAACACTGATGGAGTTCTTCAAGAAAAGTGATCTACTTGTATATCCCATGTTCATCCTCTCTAGGATGAACAGCTTAGTTGGACTTGATCTCAGAGGTCTTTTCCAACCAGGAGATTCTATGATTCTACCTTTTCACCCAGAGTTAATCTGATATGTGGCTGTGCTGGGATTATGTGGCTGTGTTGGCATGAAGGTGGCATTAAGCATATGCCTGGGCTGAGTGGGAGGAATGGCAGAGTGAAGTCAGCATATACAAATCAATAATTAAGAGGAACAAAAAGTCTCTCCACTTAAGCAAGAGGGCTCCTGTGTGCCTGCAGTGTGAAGGTACACGGCTGTCACATCTCAGAGGGTGCTTCTGACCATGTCCCTTTAAGTTTTTCTGTGTTATATTTCTGTTTTCACCTTGTAGAAAGGAGATCACAATGAAGTTGCACAGGGTCGATGGGTCCTTGCACAGTGCAGTTTTATGTGTCTATAATTTTAACCAAGAAAACTCCTCCACTGAGCTTTAATCCCTAACCCCACTTGTATTTTGCAGACAGCTATTTTCTCTGTATTTTAATATTCCCCTTGTGCTGAATGTCTTATTGCACTCATTCTTTACATCCTCTCTGTCTGCTCAGCACTTTATCCTTCCATTTTCCTATATCAGCTTCTGTTTCTTTCCGAGTTTTCTCAGAGCCATGTTTCAGTCTAGCTGATTCATTGTGAGAAGCACAAACATTTCTACAAGTGCACTTAGTAGGTAGGTGCAAAGCAGGCAATTAGGAGAAAATATTGAAGAAACAGTGGACCAAATTAATCTGCAGTGGAATTTGGATATGGTGAAGTTCTCAGGTGTGAGGCATTGCTGCACTCTGCAAGGGTAACTCCTGTTAAATGGAATTAACCCTAATTAACAGCAGCATAAATGTGCTAAGGATCGAGTTGGCATCCTTCTAGTTAGTGTAAAGTTTCATGTTCAGCTGTTAATCAGGAAAATAGAGGTGATATTTTAGTAGCTTGGGAAGGCATGATTTTCTAGTGTATTTTTTTTTCTTATTGTCTGCAAGTTTCAGGCTGCTGATATGAGTGTGTACTGATAGAAATTCATCAGCCTCCCCCAGCCCCAAGAGCCTGCTTATTAGACTTACACACCACAAGATATTAAACCCACTTTTGTCTGTCACACAGCCACGGGCAAGGGAGGGGGAATTTGCCAGTTGCTAATGGATACCTGGACTTTTTGTGTATGACCATGAAGAACAGCTTGTGCACTTTCACCCCCGATGTTCCCTGAATAACTTGGGTCTCATTTAGGTCAATAAGCCTTTATCAAAACGTCAGGAGTGAAAAATGTGTCTTGGTGTAAGCCGACTGGTCGTTCCCTCCAGTCACTGGGGTCTATAGGACAATCAATGTTCTCTAAGCTTGTCTGCATGTCAGGCAAAGAGCTGGATGACAGTCACCATTGAGTGCGTGTCTGTCGCATTGTCTTTGGGACAGCCCCCATTTGCATACTTGCCGGTGTGCCCGTCAGCCCATGAACCAGAGAGGGCCTTTAAAAAACCTACGCGCACAACTCCCATGCAAATGCCCTATGCAAGAGAATACACACTGCTTCAAAGCACAATCCAGGCTTTCACTTTCCACCTTCTTGCTCTAAAACTGAAACGATGATGCTGACAGGACCCGGTGCCAGCTCAGGGTGCTGTTTGTGCCTTCATTGTGCTCACACATTGACTTTTCACTCAGTTTTTGTTTGCCTACCGAGATAATTTTGTTGTTGTTGTTGTTCTTTTGCTTTTGGAGATATTTCAATAGTATTGTCTGTGCTAACACATATGATGTGAGGCCGTACATCCCTTCCTCAAATTAGTTGTTGTGAATGAAGCACAGGTTTTGCTCCCTGCGTGGTTGCTATTGCCTTTTGTTAAGGGAGTTCCCTCCGTGGTGGTGATGAAAGGAGATGTACCGGCCTTCTGCATACAGAAGAGTACTTGCATATTGGAGTTTATGAACCATGTCTGTGAAGTGAATACAATCAACTGATCAGAAAAGACGGCCTCTGGTGCTTTATTTTCCTGTGATAATTCAACAGCACTTCATGTAGAGCAGGGCTCAGAATTTTGCCACTCGCTGCAGGTTTGTGAATGATGTTGGGTGAAACTGGACAAAGGCAGAGGTTCATTGTGTTTAAAGCTTCTGTCATAAGACACAGCCTTTCCTTAAAGCGCCTGCTGCACATGCTGTTTCTTTAGATTTATGATGTTAATTATAACTTTATTTTATTGAAAAATATTTAATAATATTCCAATTAGAGGGGGCGGGGCAGTGGGGAGAGGGAAGGGTTTTGGTGGATCCTTTCAGAAGGAAGCTGTAAAAGAGATTCTTGGTCAAAGAGTCCAAGCTTCATGTTTATTACAACCAAGAATCTGGACAGTTTCATTATAACTTGAAAATCTCACTGGAATATAAGTAACTAGGAACAGTTTTGATAGTTGTTCCACTGCATCTGATGTCTTGGACAGGTTGTGATATTGTCAAAACTAAAAGAAAGAGTCTAGGTTAATGTTCTCCTACCTTTTCTAGAAGTGTCACAGAGTCGAATGTCAACACTGTAGTGCCCTAAGATAAGCAGTTTGTTGTGCCATCAGTGGCACAGTATGGTGTTTTAGAGCCACAAAAAGATTATAGCGAAGTCAACTGATGAATAACATTTTTTTTCCCCTCTTTTTGCCATAAATACTATTTTACTGAGTGTTCAAGGCAATGTTCCATGAATTTTGAAGGTGATCAGATGACTCCCATTTGTCTTGACTGATGGTTGTATCCTGGTTAATAATCATAGGTACCATCTTGAGTCCTGTTTGCCGATCTGTTATGAAGAACAGCAGTAAGCCCTGCAGAAATGTGAGGAGGCTGGATACAATATTCAGCAGCATGTGACCATCTCTGCAGTTGCTCTTTATATTAAATCACTCTATGAAATAAGCAATTTGTTCTCTTAATCTGCATTACCCTGTGTAACTGTGACACCTTATGATTGGTTTCTTTGCTTTACTCTCTCTTATGCCACGTGTTGTGTGTTTTCAATTCCAAGCCACTGTTACCATTCCAATGAGTAGATTTTACTGTTGGCTTTGATAGTGAATGTGACCAGTTATTAATCAAGTTGGCCAAGATGGAAGTATTGCAGCTCCCTGATACTCAAGGAAACTACGCTGAGTAAGCTGTGCTCAACCAGGCTGTAGAAAAGCAAGGTTTACTTACACATTGCCTAAGTTCCAAATATGATATAATTGTGCCTCTGCCTAATCAACAAGACTGTGGGATGTCTCTGACATCTATCACTTCGTAGGCATTTCCAAAGTCATACCTCAGCGTAGCTCTGTGGTTAACACGTAGCTTGATACCAGCAGTGCTTCAGGACCAGACCTCTCTTTGTGCTGAAGTCTCTAATTGTTGACAAGAGGATGGGAAAGGTGTGCATGAGGTCTCACTGGGTTTTCAGCATACCTGGAGACGGACATATTGGTAACGGGGACTAGAAGTCTGTCTTTGATCCATGTGAGATGAAAGGAAGACTGAAAAAGTAAAAATAAGTGGGAGGTGAAGCTGATACAGTAAATGGAATGTGAAGCACACCTCTTCCCGAAATGAAACGTGCTAGCAAAATACTCATCTTCTCAATACAGACTCTGCTTGTTTTCTTTGGCTCAGTCAGGAAACCTTTTGTTTGAATTAGACCAAGTGAATTGCACGGAATGGTTTTCAGTTTTAGTACGTGCAGACAAGCCAAACTGCGTGCAATTAAAGTATTTAAACTTGCTCTTAATCTTTTCTTTCTTTACTCTTACAGGCTTTTCTTTTACTTTAGACCATGTTGATATAGTTGACATTTTTTACCTTACAAATTTTATATTTTCTGTTAGCATTTCCTAACACATTCTGAAAAAAAGAGATGAAAGCCATACAGTAGAGAATTAACCTCGTTCCCTGTCTGTTTCTTTTAGGAAATTGTCTTAGTGGTGTTCTTTGGAACAGAGTATGTGGTTCGGTTATGGTCAGCAGGATGCCGCAGTAAATATGTTGGGATATGGGGAAGGCTTCGTTTTGCTAGGAAGCCTATTTCAATCATTGGTAAGTATGCACAGCTTGCAAAGTTGATGTAAACAACGAGTAAAAGTTGTCCTTGAAAGTTTTGAGAAGTGGAATTTCTGCAGCAGTTGTAGCCAAGTTAGAGCAAGAGCTCTTGTCGTTAGGGTTAACGTAGGTCTGAATTTCCTTGCAGGGATCCATGGCACTGTCACTCGAGAACAAATGTAGCTTGGTTTGTTTTTCCAGAAGAGCGAAGTGTTTTCTTTTCACAAGTGATCTGAAGCTTTGCCAGAAATAAATCTTGGCCATAGTCCTGTCTCGTGTGACCTCAGGATCCCAGACACTACAATAGCTACAACTGTATTTTTTTAAAGATACTGAATAGTCTTTTCTCTTTTTTTTTCTTTCCAACAGCCATTTGAATAATTTATTATGAGTTTATTTTGCACTCTAACTGAGCTGTGTACTGTATGGTGGAACATGACAGAGGAACTGCATTTACTTTGTGTATCTGTTGGATTAAAATATGGTTTTCAGTGATGCATTTGAAACTGGGCACCTGACTTCCCTTGTTATTCACTGCAGTTCACTTCCTAACATGACTTCAGTGTTCTGAGAAATTCCATCCATGTATTCCATATATGTCACAAATCATTATGTTTTAAAAAATGCTTGTCATGCATTTAAGAATTTTACCAAAAGAAACATTTTAATCCAAAATCAATCTGTGTTTTGTTAGCCAATACTGAGAGAACTCTGTAAGGACCCTTGCTCTGAAGCACTCCAAATATAAATGGAATAAACAAACCAGATTTTGGAAGAGTAGTATTGTTATAGCAGCATAGTAATTCTTGTTCTGTGACATAGTTTTTTCCACTACTCAGAAACATTATTTGTTGTTGAATAGAGGATATAGTTTTTCCATAAACTGTCTACAGTTTTGCTGAACTTAAATTGCAAAGTTTTGTACCTAAGTATTTTTGCAATCATAAAAGAGCTTAGTTTAGCTTCTCTGTGCATGTATGTAAACAACAACTGTATCTCAGATGTGGCTGCAGCTATAAAATGGTTTTGACTGCATCTTTGCACTCTGTCCACAGCCTATTTCTCCTGAGACCTAGAACACCAGGGGTTCTGAAACATCATCTAATTTATTTCAGCTTGGAAAGCAAAACAAAGTTCCGCTTTCCCAGATACGTATCAAGAACTATTTCATTCTCTAAAATACAGAGTTCCTTTCCAAAACTAACTAGGCCTGAGGCACAGAGATTGAGAGTACAGTCCTAGGGTAATGACTGACTGAAACTAAATTAGACTTACACACTGATTCCAATTTTTCTCTCCCTCTTAGACCTGGACAGATGAAATAATAGTGAGGCAATTGTGTTATATATGAAATAAAGCCCCAAACCTCTGTCAGCGAATAAAATATTGCCTAAAACAGCAGAGAAAATAAGATACACAGAAGACATAATAGGTAGAAACTGTTTAAATTCTTCATGGGTTATAGCTAATAAGGATTCCAGGCTGCTGAAGCTGCTTTACAGTAACTCCCATCACTCTCATCATTCATCTCGAATGTGGCCATCTTGGACCCATCCCAGTAAAACCTTTCTATCATATCACACAATTATATTTTCTTTATATGTTACAATAGTGATCTCTTGCTATATAAACAAAAATCTTGATTTGGGATGACTGTTGAAATTGTTACAGTAATATTAGCATTGGTTCTAGTAACAGTCTCGCAGAAGTATTGCAAGGTGCTGCTAATTCATTTTTTCAATTGAATTTTCTTTTCCAGATTTAATTGTAGTTGTTGCTTCCATGATAGTTCTTTGTGTGGGCTCTAAAGGTCAAGTCTTTGCAACCTCAGCTATCAGGTAATTATATGCAGTAGAAAATAGTGCTGTCTGAGTAAGATGGGTTGGGGTTTTTTTCTTTTTTTTTTTTTTTTTTTACCTCCTGTTTGAATTCTTGCAGGAGAAAATGAGTCACTGCTCAGAGTCATGTAACAGAGCAGATCACCCATCATGTATGGGTGTGAAACAGTGATCTCATTAAGTGTAGGG